CTGGGGAATTCTGGGAGTTGAAGTCCACACAGCTTAAAGTTGCCAAGTTTGAGAAACACTGCAGTAAAAGAACTCAAATGTCCATTAGCAAGTGATTTATGCCTTTAGTTAGTCAGGAATACAAATATCTAAATGATGCTAGATTCCAATCCTGGAAAGTACTTAGTCACTCATTTCAAGCATGTACCTGATTCTGTTTACCATTTGAGCTCATTGTACGGGTAAACAGAGAGTTAGACGGGTTGTTATGTAACCTCACCAGCCATCTTTCTCAATGGAGGCCAAGTTAATTGCCAAACATGGCAGGCCTTCAACTCTGGTCCAAACTAATTTTAATCTTGGATCTCCCATCTCCCTCATGCTACCAGGTAGTTATCCATCTTTCTGGAAGAAAGGAACTGAACCAGACCTTAGAAGGTACAGGCTATCAATTCAATATCTGCTTTCACTGTGGACTAGGGGAGCCAATTTGGCTGAAAGAACATACCCTGGATTCTCACCTTCAAAGTTTGATCCCCCCCACTTTATGACTGAGGGCAGAGCTTCTCTCCAGCTAACTAGCCAACATCTCGTGCTTGTTTTGGTGAGATTCAATTACTTGCCTTCACGATTACTGGAAGGGGGATACAAGAACATCTCAGTTCAGGATCCAACATGCCCCCAACAGCTGAGTAACACTGAGATGGTCACACGTGCGGGGCTCAGACCTAATAGGGACCTTCCTGCTAAATCAATCCAGCAGGTCCGATGAGGAGAAAGAGTAAGTCCTTTCGGTGAACAAGCATATGGAAATCTAGAAAGGTAAGTGAATTCTGGGCTGTTGCTATCATTATCACTTGAGGTTCCTCAACCTCACACACACCCCTCTTGTGCCATGGAAAAGCTGATCCATTGAGCATTTACTTGCAAATTCTTACGTCCTCCATACTGTTCTCATATTTTATACTGTATATGTGCAGTATATATTAACTTTGGAGATGCTTATTCATTTCATGATGCTGATCTACGACTACCATAAACTTTAACTAACTAAAACACATGGGGTCTACATAAAAAAAGGCTGAACCATTCTGTGTATGTGTGGATTCCAAGGGGCAAGGCAGGATCCATCAATGAGTCAGAAATATGCTATGAAGACCAGCATAAAATTCAACCTATGCATCTCATCACTTTGCCACCAGATTCTTCTATAATTATTCTACTTCACTGTTGCTTTAACTGAAACTAGGAGCCCAGCCCAGCAACTGTGCCAGCTGGCAGATGTTCCAGATGTATGATATGGGAGCCAGACTGCAACGTAGATGTGCAGCAAACCTCAAAAATGTGGAGAATTGCCTTGGAAAGAGAAACAGCATTTGCTATCTGTGACTGTTTCCTGAAATGTAGCCACTAGTCACAAAAAAATGGGACGGGTGACGTAAGTAGAGAAAGCAGGAACAGGAGAAATATGAAAAAAAAACTGAGAAGGGTTGTATCCACAACCCTTAAATTCAAAACAATGCTTAAGCGACAATATGAACAGTTCCTATTGTAAACACATTCCCTCTGTAAAGCAAAAACCTGCATTTATCAAAAGAGACAGCAATTTCTCTTAGAAACACTGTTTTTGCTCCGAAGTCGACTGATTAAATATGCAGCTATACGGCCACTGACACTCATGCATATTTAGTAGCACAAATAAGAATTCCCCTTGTAACGCAGAGGAAGGCAACCAACTGAATTAAACATGGGCTGTTTGACTACCTAACGTCCTAATACCGGTGTGTTTTCAGCTCCATTACCTAAATAATTTTCTAGGCGCCCTAAAGTAATTCATGATTATGAGATACTCTTTCACCTAAATCATCCAGAGCTTACAACAATATTCTGGTTTTGACAAGTTCTCAGAGTGAACGTAGGGAGAGGGTGGGGGGGAATATTTCTTAAAAAGTCCGGGCACTATCTTGATTAAACATATGCTCTAAAGGAGGATCTCTGGCACCCTGAGTTTTCACTTTCTATGCTGGCTAAACCAGACTTCCTCAACATGAAGCCCTTCAAATATGTGTTGGTATACAAGCAATTTGTCTCCACATCACGCCCTTCAGCTTCTCCAGCGAACAGATCTGGGAATTAGGATTTTTCTGCAAGATGGCTTTCATTGGGTGACAGTTCCATATTAGAAAGTTCGACATCTCATCATCCTGCAGAAGTCGTTTCGTTGTCAGTGACAGTGGCCGTATTATGTAGCTTGAACCAAAAAGTAAGTATTACAATGGGGCAGAATGGGGACTCCAAGATACTGGGAACTCATAAGATGAAATATCCAAATAATAATCTCTCTCTTCCTGTAACAAAAATATTTTATGAAGTACTTTAGCTAGATTGCACCACTACGTTGCATTTATTTCAAAATATGTAACATGAGTTTCAATTAACTAATTTCCAAGATGCCTTATCAATAACAAAAAAGAGCAATAAAATAATTATTTGGATAGGATTCAGAAGCAGCGCTTTAGAATGCACTCAGAAGTTATGAACTCGGTGCCTATCTATAACTCGTTAAAACAGCTGCATCTGTTTTCAGGACGATGCAGCTGCAGCAGAAGCCTCCTCATAGCAATTGGGGGATCCTAGGAAAAAGACGCGGCTGCTTTAATGAGACCAAGACAAGGGCTGCGTTCGCATTCTCACATATCCCGTAACAGG